TATCGAGGTTATATATTTCAACAAAAGTTCTAAGCTGGGATATTTTGTTGTCGATCTTGAATTTATAAGAGCTATCTTCAGGACGTCAGATATGGAAAAGGTAAGCTGTGGTGAAAAAAGGATTTCTGAAGGTACCTCGATTGATTGATGAACTAAATGAAGGTAAGTGTGTAGTTCTTGGAGGATATGGTGATGCGTATGGCGAAGTGTGAGTGCATGGGTTAGTATGTATGGATCGAGTGCACATATGGGGAGGTGGGTTGACTAGGTGGTAATTGTACCAAAATGGAGTTTCAGTAGGGGAGGTGTAAAAGCCGAAGTAATTTGTGGGTTGTCATTAGCTGGTAAGAAGTTTGGAAGGCTAGAGTGCTTTGGCTTATTCCCATGTCATGCAGGTGGATTTGGGGGAGTCGAGATGCAGTAATAGAAGCTTATTTGTTTCTGGTTTGAGCTTGGAGAATTCCTATTTGTTATATCTACATTCTTGGGGCGTTTTGGTTGTGCGTGTGTGCTTAATAAGGCCCTTTGGTTTGTGTCTTGTTTGGCAGTCAATTTCTAGTACTGGTTGATCGGTCTTTGGGGCGTAGCAAAACGTATATCGCTACCTAATTGCGTCACATGACTGGATCCGGGATCGGCGTAATCGTTCTGTTCTAGTTGAACGTTGTTTTTTGTTGTGTATCCCTTGTTGCTTTCTGCCTGGCATCCCCAACTTCTGTTGCAGTTACGCGTCTTTGTCTTGAGAACTAGGGTTAGAAGTACTTGCTGGCAGTCCATCTACGGGGGCTGTGAGTTAATCATTTTGTTCACGCTGGTCCGTGGATTTTTTTTATTAGTGTCAGAAATTAAAGTAGTAGCTAGGGGTTCAGTAGAGGGACCGGAGTGGTGATTACCGTGTTTGTAGCTGGTGTCTACATCCCGAAGTTTACGTCTTTGCATCGGTGTCAAATCTGGACCTATAAATGAGTTTCGGTTCCGAAGATTTCTGTTTAATTTGAGGTTTTGTGGGACAAGCCCAGATTCAGTCTGCGAGCAGAAGGCTACTAAGACGGGTTGACTTTTGCTTCTAGAGTGAAGTCTTTTGGTTGTAACTACTAGGATGTTTAGGCCACGCGAATGTATAATGTCTTGAATTGGTGGTGTTGGGTTAACCGTGTGGGGTATATTGTGAATAATCCAATCGAGTCAGCGTTTTAATCTATCCGAGACTTCTGATAAAACCAAATGTATAATCGATTCGATTTGTGCTAGGTTCGTTATGACGTTCGTGAATGTATTTG